AGTGACAATACAAGGGCCATCTGGGGCCACTTAAACCAATACTGAAGGGCAGAGTGGGGCCTTTGTCAATTAAAACTGCATTGGACTAATTGTGATGAGATAATCTAATTTGGGAGGACAGCCGAACCTCTACTGAAAAACAACAAACCAGAGGATTATGGGAGGGAGATGGCAAATGTATGCTTAGTCGATGTAAAGACAATCTGTAAAGAAGATAAAGCATTGACTTGGACTGAGACGAGGGCAAAGGAGACGCAGAGGAGAGAGATTTCCGACCCCTAGAGACAGGCAGCGAAGAAGAGAGGGTTTTTTCTCCAGGAAAGCTAAAGTTGTAAAGGAGATATTGCTCGGGCTGGACATAAAATTGATGAATGTGTGTCTTGGGTCCACAGAGGAATTGAAAGAGCATAGGGTCACAGCAGAGGACTGTACTAACACAGGAAGTTCAAGAGGATTTTAAGGTCGAGGCCTAAGGGAGCACCTGGTTAAGGCTTCGAAGGAACACCGGTGAAGTTAGTTGAATTATGTCTGATGAAGTGTACTCACACCCAATTTATATCATTCCAGCCTCTGTGGGTGCCATACTTGTGGCTGTTTCTCTGATTGATCTATAAGTACCTTACATAAGCTAAACCATAGCATTTTTTGTATACACCCTGTGGACTGAACAATCCTGTTTATGATTGTGCGAAATGAAACAACATCAAAAGTGAATTAATAATAAAGCTTGGAGCAGCTTGAATACAGTCAAGTTTTCCAAGTTCCGGACTAAACTTGTCCTCTTACCGAAAGACATTTTTTGACCGCCCTGCTGTATATCATGACGCCATACTGCTATAATATCTTCTGATGAAATAGGCTGCTTCACTCACATATTTGAACACATTCTTAATCTTAATTTAAACACATTTTGACTGTCTTGAAACAAAACTATCTTGTTTCAAAAAGATACAAGCAATGGGCCTCATTCACGAACGGTTCTTAGGAACAGATTTGTACGTAAATCCTACTTACGCGGTTTTTACGAAGAAAGTGGCATTCACGAATATTTCTCGTAACCAGAATTTCACTTGGGCAAGTACAAATCCTACGAGTCCTCAGGAGCACTCGTACGCATTCAGTGCCGACATGTTCACACGCCGGGGTTGTCCTCTTTGGTGAAGTTGAATAAAAATACAACATTCCAGTGATATGTCCGTCATATCGATGTATGTATTTATTTATTTGTAGTAATCTTTATTAGTAATCTTTATTTATATACCGCCTTTTTCACTGCAGATCTGGCCTACTTTTTAATTCATTTTGAAATGAAATGTGCCAACGCTTTATCAAATACATTGGAAATCTTGCCGTGTATTAGTGACCCCTTCCTATTTATAGGGGGCATTTCTTTATCCACGGGCCACAGAACAACGGCATATATACTGCTGCTGCAGGAGGTTACTGGGTCCGCGCTGAGTCTCTGCGCTGGTCTCTCCTACGGATCTATACGGGTCTGCACTGGTCTCTCCCATGGATCTATACGGGTCTGCACTGGTCTCTCCCATGGATCTATACGGGTCTGCACTGGTCTCTCCCATGGATCTATACGGGTCTGCGCTGGTGTCTCCCATGGATCCATACGGGTCCGCGCTGGTCTCTCAAGTCTGGTCTATGCGGTCTCTCTTCGGTCCGCGCTGGTCTCTGCGCACCGGTCTCTCCAGTCAGGTGTCCTCCAGTCTATGCGGTCTCTCCTGTCCGCGCTGGTTTCTGTGTGCTGGTCACTCCAGTCTCTCCTCGGGTATGCATTGGTCTCAGCGCTGGTCCGCGCTGGATCTCCTCCCAGGGTCCAAAATATTTTGAGATAAATCTCAAAACATTTTGAGATTCATCTTTAAAATAATACATAATATATTTTTAAATTAAGCTCATAACATTTTGAGATTAATCTCATCATATTCTTAGATTAATCTCATAATTTTGCTAGTTCGACTTTATAATCATAATATTTCGACTTTTAAGTCAACATTTTATAACTTTATTCTCAGTCTGGCAAAAGCCTGCTTTAGGCCTGTTGCTGTTTCCTCTGGCGTCTGCACACGGCCCTGCAGTCCCTTATATGGGCATTAGTGGGCGGTTTACTTATGCTAAGTACCTATGGTAATGAAGCACCGGGCACGCGCGCTGTACTTACGAGGAAATGGGATTCATCAATCTGAGAGAACAGCTGCGAACAATTCAGCGGCTTACGAGTGCGTTGATGAATCCCACGTGGGGACTTCTTAGAAATCTACTTAAGGACAACTTGAGAAGAAAGTTGAGTAGTTTCTTACGAAGTTATTCGTGAATGAGGCCCATTGTCTCCCTTGGAATGACAGAATAAAGCAACAGTTCTGTCGTGTGGTGAGATGAAGGAAGATCCAAAAATACAACAACGTCAAAAATAAAGATTTAAAGATGAGAATAAATAAAAGTTCAGGGTAAAAATGAATCAAAAATCCAAATTTTAGGGACGTAGACAAACAAAGATAATGCAATGGACCAGCAACAAGGGGAGAGGAGCACATGGTACATACAGACACAGACAGATGGGGCAGACCATCAACAGGGAAACAGGACAGGAAGTAAAACTGATGTCAAAATAAAATACCATTGGAAGAACCCGTTTTGTCAGAACGTACTAAAATTAGGATTTTAAAAACGCAATAATTACCTCATATTTTATCATTTCTTGCCGTGAAATTTAAATCCGTCAATACTGTTTGTCTAATCTTGTTCGGGGTTATGCTTTTAAGCCAAACTCTTTTGTTTGATTGCATTCCTTAATTACAGATTAATTATGCAACAAAAGCGATTTCCTCAGGTCGGACTCATGGGGGCAAAACATAATATCAAGCGTTTTTGCGTGTGTGTCGAAGTGATTAGCACCCCCATTGGAGAAAACTGATTTATGATGCCCCTGGATTGAGTCCAACCGGCTCCGTTGTGCTTTTTTGTTGTTGTTGTAAACCAGACTACAGTTCAGATCATATGACCAAATCATGTGACCAGATTTGTAACGCTGACATTCACACTGCGATGGGAGATTAGACAGAAGGTCATTGTGTGCGCACTGTGTCCTCAGGAAGTGACCATATCTGGCATGAGAAATCACATTATTAGCACGCAGTGGTTTACAGCAGGCATATGGGGGCGTGTGCAGTGTGTGTGTGTGTGTGTTCATCGGTGCTGGTGCAGTGAGGCGTGGAAAGCGGGCCTTGGAGGGTTTGACATGATGCTGCCAGTTCATTTCATATTACTCCAATATAGAGCGAGTGCAGTGATGAAAAGTATGTATGGGTTTATCATGGGATTATCTGGTGATATTTTTGAGTTTGTGAAAGAGCTTTCTGTAGTCTGTGCGACTATTGTCACTTCTGTAATTACTCGTGCGTCCAAGGTCTCTGCGATATATATGAGCAAACATTAAAAGGACATGGTACACACAGCGACAGTCTGTGGTCATTGTGCAAAGACATCTGACTTTGCTGCATATAGATTTTGGTTCATGTTGACTCATCTTCTAAATTTGATTCTTCTTCATTCCCACAAACATAAACAGTATGTCTTGGACTGTAACCCTAACTCAAAACCACAAGAAAGTGAGATCAAAAGGATACACGATTTAAATAAATATGGGAAAGTAGAGCTTGCACATGTATTCTAACAGCATCGTGGTTATGTAGCACTCGCTTCTCAGCAAGAAGGTCCAGGGTTCAAATCCTGGTCAGAAAAGGGCCTTTCTAAGTGGAGTTTGCATGTGAGTGAGTGAATGGATGGTGTCGGTCGGGGGCTTTCATGCTCTCGTGTGTTCGGCATCTCGCTCCCGTCATCATTCCGTGTGTGGAGAGAATGGAAAAATATCTGAACTCTTTGTGTAAAATTGTGCTACATAATTAAACATTACTTACTTACTATCTTACATGGTGGAACCCCTTTTGTAGCAAACACAGCAGTGGGTCTTCTTGAGTTCAACTTTGCAAATCTAGAGAATAACAAAAACATGTATAATTTAGCTTTCACTCCACAGTTGTCTATTACTTTGTTTTGGTCTTTCAGAAAAAAAACGATCAAAAGCTATATGGTCTTAAACATCGTAAACATGACAAAATGTATAAAAGTTTGATTCTATACTTTTCAAAGCACCTGTATGTAGATTTAAGTTAGTTCGTAAAAAAAATAAAAATAAACACACACAAAATGCATGCACTGTAAAATAGATTTTCAAATATTTTATTAATTATTTTCTCATATCAATCATTAATTTGGGCCCAGAATAATATAATATTTCATAGATCACGGTTCAAAATTGTTTCTCTTCAGGCTTATTAATTTAGGGAGACTTTGAATGAAGTGTTATTGGAGCACACTGAGTTACAGTCCTGTGTGAAATATATAAATACAATGTATTTTCTTTCTTTTTTTCTAAAGTACCCTTCTCACCTTCAATTCCACATTATTGTAACCATAGGGAAGATATATATAGACAACTACATAACTAAATTAAAGCTGTTAAAAAAATCGTTTCCATTTTAAAGTCACATTTGTTTTATCACCTAAACTTTGAGTCATAAAAGTTGTTTACTTTTTGTTGTTTTCAAGTAAAATATTTTATTTTTAGAATATTTAATCTTTGTGTGTTTGGGGAATTCTAATATCAAAGAAAAGAGCTTGTATCCCTCCATTTTAAGGTGAAGAAATTGGCTGATCCTTTGGTAATCGAAAGAGAAAGATATAATAATCTCACAATGGAGAAATGTGCTTGTCACATTTGGCGTCGACAGAAGCGCACAAAAAGACAGGAAGTGTGCAAACATGTTACAAAGGTTAAAATATAGAAAAACCGCTAAAATTATTGTCATCATGAGGCAGGATGGTGGCTCCTGCAGACAGCCTGCTTTCTTCTTGGCACTGGCCCCATACGTCTGCACACTAAGCTCCATATGATGTTATCTGAAGTTAGGAGCCGTGTTTGGGGCGTGATGATAAGCTCGCAGCAGGTGCTAGCTTGCTCGGCGGTCCCTGGAGTGAAACACAGGAAGTACAAGCTAATTGCTGCAGGTGCTAATGCCAGACAAGCATGCAACCGGCTTATCGAGAAAGACGAGAAAATAATAAGGTGCTAAGTAGTCGTATGTCTTTACTTGTGCACTTTGAGAGCTGAGAAAATGGGTGTGAGGTCATTATCAAATTAGTTTTTACAATACACATGCACAAATGGCATGGAGACCTCGAATCTACAACTATCCCATTCATGCTGCGATAATTGAAGGCTGTTTTTACTTGTGTTTGTTCTGTTGTAAGTAACATTTAGTGAACAAATCAGACCATAACTTGATGTTTTTATCCTATTAGAAAGCTAGGTGTGTGCCGTCTTCTCTGTGGTAATCTTGCACAGTTTTTCCAATATGGGTTTACTGCAAATGGCAAATACATTCTTGAATCTTGATTTTGATCTTGATTTCTGGTCAGCTGAGTGAGGGCCGGTACTGAAAAAGCTGATTCACACTCAGAACATGTGACAGAGCATGTTGGGCCATTTCATGCATCTGAAAACTAGTGATAGAACAGTTTTGTGAGTTTGGAAGTAGTTCCATGGACAGTAATAGATATAACACAGTCTGTCTGTCTTTGTGATGGTCTTTCAGTAAAAACAATCAAAAGTAGAATTGTGGTCGCAACATGTTAAAATGTGAATTCAAGCTTGACTTTCCCACAAGGCAGCAGCATTGGACTTTAAATATATGTATTAGTTTATTTGAATAGGGTCAGTACACAATAATCAACATTACTGTAAATATGTCAGTATTAGCTATACAGCAAGTTTCCAACTGTAGCCATCAAAAAATACACTGCAAACATTACAATATAGAAATAATTAGTAAACACGTTACAATTTAAAACAGTTTATTAAAGCTAAGAAAAAAACACACAATAGAATATTAATAATCACGAATGGTTACAAACTTGATTGTCCTATAACCATGTTTTTAACATTCCGCAACGGCGCACACTGAGAAAGCTGATTGGAACTTTTTCTCCGTGAACAAGATAATTAGAGGCAGTAGATCTGGTGTTTCTAGTGTTTCGGTTTCTCTGCTTAAAAATTAGAAAAAATAATACATGAGATTTTTTTTGTCTTCATAAATCACATTTTTTTTTAATATGAATGGAACACAAACACACAGATTTTTATTATTTTTTATTAAATAACACTCCCCCAGTTGTAAAATCTCTTAAAAGATATTTTACACACACACAATGATTTATAACTATTATTAACTTTGCCTCTTGCTTCACTGAGGCTGATGACCTTTCAGACATTCTCCAGCTCCTCTTTAAGCCTCTGGCATTTCTACAGTATCTTTTTCATTCTGTTACCGGCCTCTGCTGTTAAAGAATCCTGCTGTTAAAATCCATGTCATATTCTGTTGGTTTGCCATTACCATTTTGTCAGTCTGAATGCAGAAGGATCTTGGTTCAGTTCTCTTCAACCAACAGAGGCGTCTCCCACTTTGACCTTGGGGTTTCCAGTCCATGTTTCTTTACAATACACACACCCGCTTGTTTATAGCAACGCACAATAGCACATGTGTCTTGTTGTATGACTGAAGCTTGCAAATATGGCTCATTCTTGGGAATCAAACTCAATTATTTGAAAGCAAAAACAATTAACGTGATTGGCTATTGCTAGATATAGTCTGTTAGGATTCCTGTAATCCAACCCTTAAAGGATGTATGCGTTCATTGCCGTCAGCCCTGCATAAATTAAATAATGGAAATGAGAGGCAGTACACAGTTAATCAATATCTATAGAGGTCATAACTGTAAAGTGTGTGTGTATTGTTCCGCGTGACCCTCTTTTCCTCATCAGTCCCTCCTCTCTCCTCCTGCAGATGGTGTACAAGCCGTGGCTGTGTTCTCAGTACTTCCAGATCAACCAGTACCACTGCGCCAACCGCATCCCGTGTAACCAGTACTGCTTTGAAGTGCAGCAGCGGTGCCCCTTCATCCTGCCTGACAATGACGATCTCATCCACGGAGGCAGCCCCAGTTTTGTATGCACAGGTAATGAACAATAAAACATTCAAAGACATTATTATTCTGACCCTCATTACAAACATATAAGATGCAGATAAAAACAGACCTGTTATATATGCTTTCAAACCAGGGTTTTAATTGAAAGAGAAATTGCATTTTTCAGATGTCTTGTAGTTTGCAGATAATCGCTCCCATGTGCAGCACTTGTGATCCATTCATCTTCTATTGGTTACAATGAGAAAATGTGTTGAACCCTTATGGGTCAGCAGGCAGGAGCAAGTGGACACTTGTGACTATACAATTACATGATATTCTGTCTCAGCGACGCAGGAGTTTACTGTTGGCCACTGTAAGAATGACGTGTAAGAAAGAAATGCATTTATAATGCAACAAAGAGCAGGTCAACACTGTGCAGGTTATATAATAATTATTATCATTGTTATTAACTGTGAATGAGTGAACGAGAAGCAGCATCTTCTCATCATGTCGTAGATGTTCTTTCATTAGAGAAGCCTGCTCTCTGGTGGACACAATGGGTACTGATATATGAACATACTTTCATAAATCGAGTATACAATGACTGTTAAGTAATAACTCAACCCATGAACATTTTATGTACATCATTCTTTCAGTATTCAATATGTACAATGATACATATTTAATATCCTGCTTCTGACTACCATGCAACATAACAGTGCATTATTTTTTCCTTAGTTTTCTTTCTCCGTAGTGTAAATGAAAAAGAATGTCTTTTAGATAGAAGGTGCTGTCGGCCTGAGTATTAGTTGCCTGTTGCATGCTGGCCAGTACCCTTGTATAATGCAGTGTGTATTGTGTGCCCCCTGCAGGGCTGCTAGAGGACTACCCCTCAGGTGTGGACCCGCGCTCCTACTGCTGCGACGTGCGGTTGGACTTGAGAGTGGATAACCAGTCTCTGGGGAGCCTGAAAAGGACTCACCCGCCATGCCAGCACCGAACCTCCCTTAGCTCAGCCGCGGCCTGCAGACTGTGTAACAGCCGCCTCAAACTTTGCCTGCTGGTCCTCGTCCTCCTACACACTGTTGCCAGCCTCACCGCATCCCACAATGCAACAGGACTGGGCCTCCCCAGCATCACGCCTCTGGAGGAGAGCCCTGCCAATGAGGAGTGATGGAGCTGCCAGGAGGCGGGTGAGGGGATTCCCTCACCATGGCAACCGGTGTGGAAAAATACAGCCGCGGTTGTGCGGGTGGCTCGCTGTGCTCCCATGGACATTCTGCAACATTTTCTGACAGAGAGAAAATGCAGGGAGCAGCGAAATGAAAGACACACTAATCAATCAAAAAGAATACGTAAACAAAATGACACAATGAGGGATGGGAACAATCCCCGCTGAGACAAGGGGACAACGCCACAGCCTTTGTTGAGCGGGAAGGCCAGCTTCCTCATGGCTGGATTTCTCTCACTACGCTTTTTTACACTGTGTTCTAATTATCATTTTGTGTTGCACTGGCTGACTATGGAATAACACGATCATAATCTCTTTAATGTTCACTCTTTGTGCTTGTCTCTGGAGGCTCTCACAGCACATGCACATTAAGTCACTGAACCAGGCTGTTCTCCAAACCTGCACTGCAGCAATCTGTTTCTCCAGTCTTTTAAACTTCCCCAAAACGATCATGTTCTTGCTCTGCCGCACGCTGAACGCTCTACAAATCATTCTCACAAAACAGAGCCATTGTGTGTCTCTCTAGACCCAAAACAAACGAGCTGACAGTTCTGTGACTACACCACCTGTAGCAAGCATGTAGCACATCAGAACCGTGTCTACATTTCCTACATTAGTGGTTTATGTAGCTTTTATAGACTCTCGTTCGCCTTTGAGACGTTTGGGAGGTTTCGATTGCTGATTAAACTGTGCCACATATTACCTATAGCTGAGATCACCAACAGGGGACTTATATTTGGAGACGACAGTTGCATAAAATGAACATTACCATCAGGGCTAACTCCATTCTTCTCTCAAATTCTACCAACCCAGTAGCATGCCCATTGTGCACTCTTCATCAAGTAAAGGGCTTATCAAGAGATATCTATACAGTAAACACCATGACCATTGCAACACACATACACACATCCATACGGTTTACTTCAATCGCAGTCTGTGGATTTCACTCACACCTGCCGTCATTCATAAACGTGCGCGTGAAGACCGAGACCAGACTCAAGCACAAAGATCTCATTGTGTACTTGTACTATGGCATAACTTGATCATCGTTTTTTCCGTCACGTTGAATATAACATTATTTTTCTCTCACTGTCGACCAGCTTGTGAACGGAAAGAAATAGGTTTGACTTTTAAGGGCTTGACTTCTTAGTTATTTTCTCCTTCGATGAACAAGGCTGGAAGATCAGGAAGATGCCACTGCTGTGTTGAGTTTGCTTGTTTTTTTTTTTTTTTCCATTTGACTAATATAACAGTGACTAAAATGAAATGAGATGTCCTTATCTAACAAAAACACCTGATGTCAACATTTAAAACTGCAGCTGATATGAGGATCCATCGTACATCTATTAGAAAATATCTGCTTTATTTATGGCTGTTTAAACCCACCCACCACAGTCCTCGCATTCCACAGAACCATATCCAGGAAGGACTTTACGCTGCTTTAATATCACAAAAATTATTATATTCTGTACTGGGCTAGTGCTCCACAAGGAACGCGGATTTAATGAAAGAAATTATGCTTTTGGGAGATTGTTTGGGGAGGTACTTTGTGTATAAAAGTGTGATTTCACATTTCTTATCCCAGTCCCAGATTGGCTGCTGCTAGTTGTAATTCAATATGATTAAAGTTGGGGTACCTAACTTTATTTTTTTGTTTTCAGAAAGAGTCTAGTAAAAAGTAACACATCATGAGAAACTACGACCACAACATGCCAAATTATGTTATTGTAAGACAGAATCCTATTTATCACTATTTTTGTTGTTTTGGGTGCTGAGAGCTGATTGGCTGAGTGAGGGTGGTTCTCTTTTTTCACTTATTTTGTCTGAAAAAGCTGATTTAAAGGAATAAATATATGCATGTGAAACTAGTGATAGAACTAACGTATTCAATTAAAAAAGGTAATTATATCTTTTATGTTTAAGGCTTAGAGACAAATGTGTAAGGAAGCTCGTACTGCTTAATTACCCGACATGTTTTGGCGATAGACGGATGGTGAGATTGTTTCAAAGTTAGGTACCCCGGCTTTACGTTAAATAATTGGCAAACCTACGGCGCCTGCTACAGATATTTTAATCACAGTCCCTGCACACTCTATTCTATTCCAAATGGGACACATGCTGCAATATGCAAAGTGTAGTAATAAGATTAATATATTGTTTTTGGGGCTGGTGCTCTGTCAATTGGGTGGCAGTTTCTGATAACCACCCCCGACCCAGATATGGATGAAGGGGAAGAAGATGGATGGATGGAGAACCTCAGTGTTATATTAGTTACAGACAGTAGGAATGAGGAGCACACAGCAAAACATAAATGAATAATAGCAATACTAAAATAAAATGGCTAACTCTAGCATCCATCCATCCATCCATTTTCTTCCGCTTTATCCGTTGCCGGGTCGCGGGGGCAGCAGTCTAAGCAGAGACGCCCAGACTTCCCTATCCACACACACCTCCTCAAGCTCGTCCGGGGGGACCCCTAGGCGTTCCCAGGCCAGCTGAGAGACATAGTCTCTCCAGCGTGTCCTGGGTCTTCCCCGGGGCCTCCTCCCGGTGGGACGTGCCCGGAACACCTCCCCAGGAAGGCGTCCAGGAGGCATCCTGAACAGATGCCCGAGCCACCTCAACTGGTTCCTCTCGACGTGGAGAAGCAGCGGCTCTACTCCGAGCTCCTCCCGTGTGACCGAGCTCCTCACCCTATCTCTAAGGGAGCGCCCAGCCACTCTGCGGAGGAAGCTCATTTCGACCGCTTGTATCCGCAATCTCGTTCTTTCGGTCATTACCCACAGCTCATGACCATAGGTGAGGGAGGGAACGAAGATTGACCGGTAAATTGAGAGCTTTGCCTTTCGGCTCAGCTCCCTCTTTACCACAACGGTCCGATACAGAGACCGCATCACTGCGCACGCTGCACCGATCCGCCTGTCAATCTCACGCTCCATCCTCCCCTCACTCGTGAACAAGACCCCGAGATACTTGAACTCCTCCACTTGAGGAAGGACCTCTCCACCCACCTGGATTTTTAACTCTAGCATTAAAAATCTATTGAAAATCTCCATAACATTACTGTTCGGGACAAAAATAAACAAATAATTAAAAATATACACTCATACTAAGGATACATATCTCACAGGCTTTAACCTATAGAGAAATAGTTAAGATTTTGTGAAATTTAGCAGCAAGGTAAATCCTTCCTTCCACCATCTAACGCAGGGGTCTCCAACCTGTAGCTTGTAGGATTTAGAAATAAACTTAAAATTTATAATTAATTTTCTATTATTGTAAAGGCACTTACTTTGTGCACTAGTAACAAATATGCGATGACAAATAATGACCCAGTATCAGGCTTGTTCACACCAATATATCACCATTTTTTCCCCCCAGTCCCGCTTAAAGGAATAGCTCTCTGCCTTTATCGTCCCAGGGAAGTAGCTCTCTGGGTGAAAAAGGTTGGAGACACTTGATCTAGCGCTAACCATGAAAATTGTCTCAAAATGTCCCAAATAAAACGCCCTATATATGTTCAAACTCAAATTCCTAGATAGATGGCCTCACTTAAGTATCATCGCATTTTCATCTCAGCTCTCTCCATCCCAAAAACCTGCATCCATATAGAATCCACCGTTAACGTCCCGCTATCACGTCCCCTGCTATTCTATCATCTATTTTAGCCAATGTTAGAATAAGGTGTGGTTGCTAAAAGAGAGCGTACGTGAGTTTAGATCTTGGACAGTGACCTAAACAGTAATGGTATTGTGTCATTCCCATGCGCATCACTGGTAGATGATTTGTCCTGGCGTTTCTTAGACCCCGCCCCCTTTTCTCCCTGAGCACCAAATGTCCCGCCCCCACCGCCCTTCAGCCTTCTCACGACTTCTCAGTTCTCTCTCCTGTGGATCTATGCAGAAGCCCTTTCCTTCTTTTTGGTTGTAAATATGTTCCCCCACTGTATGCTGAACAATGTCTGTCTTTTTGCGTCTCCTGATCACTTTTTTTTTTGTTTTATTTGACTTTGAAATTGTTTATGTCCAGATTTTCCTCAATGTTTAAAAAGAGAATGTGGTGAGGTTTTAACCAATAGACTTGTATAACTCAGATTCACAGCCTTATGGTGAAGGGTTGTGGCTCTGCGTGTGTGTGTGTGTCTGAGAAAAAGAGAAAGATTATTTAAATGAAAAAAAGGTTTAAAGGCATATAGAAGTATCATTGCGATTATTATGATTACTATTATACAACCAGTATATTGTAATATGATAGATGCTTTAGTTCGAGTAACTTCTTTAATTTTTTTACAAACTACTTTGATGAAAATGATTTATAAAACAGTCTCACGAGTCTCATGATCTTTTGGAGAAGTATAAAGATTACAGCTACAATGATTACAATTGTGTTCTGATGAAAATAAATACAGACCTATATAAAGTGGTGGCTTTGCTGTGTGTGTTTTTGCAAGACAATTAATGCACCTTTTCAAATATGACGATGTTGAACTGAATTTATATAGAGGAAAAATATAATGTGAGTGTGGACAGTAACTGGAAAGATTCAAGATTAATTCATTATGTCCCGTAGGAAATTTGTCTTGGACTCACAGGCTGCTACATCGATAATACACATAAGACAGACATAAAAACACAACACAGCAACACCGACATGAATCATCACCGCTCTGCTCGATGGCCTGCGTTCAGGAGGTTCACAGATATGGGTAGGAATGAGTTCTTATACTGGTTTAGATATTGTTTCTTATTTCTAGTTGGTACTCTGTAGCGGCGGCCTGATGGGAGGAGCTCGTATTGAGAGTAGAGGACATGAGAAGGGTCTGTGGTGATTTTCTTTGCCTGTCTAATAACAGTCTTCTCAAATATCTACTGCAAAGATGGATGCTCCCTAACTCCCATGACCTTGTTCTGTGCGCACTAATCTGTGAAATTCTGCTTTACAGA